GTCCTGGCAGCTGGGAGATACACAGGACGGGGATAGGGCTCTTTCCTGGGGTGGCTGGGAGGCAGGAGGAAGGTCAGCTGGCCCCGGAATTGCCTGAGCACAGCTTTGGGAAGCTCTTTACCAAGCCAGCCACTGAATGGTCTTTCCTGGAAGCTCTGATGCGTCCAGAGGGTATGTCCTGCTTGGGCTGGGCCCACAAGTCCTCAGGCCTGGCCTGGGCCATGCAGAGCGGGGCTGGAGGCAGAATCAGAGCCTGGGAAGGCGCAAGGCCCTCCCCCTTCCTGAGTACCCCCCTCTCTCTCTGAGGCACACACAGACCTGCAGGCCAGTCAAGTCCTCAACCCAGAAGCACCCCAAGGTCCCCCTTTCCTTTTGGCTGCAGGGCTGGAATCTGAGCCCTACCAAATACTCGCTGTGTGACCGTGGGCAAGTCGTGTTCCCTCCCTGGGCCCCAGTTTTCTCTTTTGTAAACTGCAGGAGATTGTGGTTGTGATTGCAGCTATAGGTCTGGAGCAGGTGACGGGTGCTGATGCTCTCCAGAAATAACCAGGCAGGGCAGGTGGCAGAGGATCCAGAACTCTCCCCAAGGGAGTAGAGGAGTGAGCCATAAGGTCATCTCTGCAGCCAAAGAAGAAAGTAGGTCCTTGGGCCTTATCTCGTATTGCTCATCCCCTCCTGAGACGGATGAGGAAACTGGGGCAGCACCTGTGGGTGAGTCAGAGTCACGAAGACCTGGGCTCCATTCCGGGTGCTACCAATTACTGACTCTGTGCCTTTGGGAACGATAGGAAGAATCTCTGGGTCTCAGTGTCCTCATCTGGGGAGGAAGGGTCATCAGAGTCCTTGGGACAAAGTAAAAGGTGAAAGGCTTGCCCGGCCTCTTCAAGAGATAGCACACTCCAGGCCAGCAGATCTCCGGTGTGGCTTCATGGAGAAATCTCTCAGGGACTTTGTGATTGCTCTTCTTTAAAATAGTTTTTTGTTGTTGTTGTTTTTGGTCAGGGTCTCACTCAGTCACCCAGGCTGGAGTACAATGGCATGATCACGGCTCACCACAGCCTTGAACTCCTGGGCTCAGATGATTCTCCCACCTCAGCCTCCCAAGCAACTGGGACTACAGTTGCATGCCACCATGTCCAACTCATTTTTTAATTTTTTGTAGAGATGAGATCTCACTGTGTTGCCTAGGCTGGTCTCGAATTCCTGGACTCAAGTGATCCTCCTGCTTTGGCCTCCCAAACTGCTGGGATTACAGGCATGAGCCATGATGCCCGGTCTTAAAAATAGGTATTGTAAAAGCTCTCCAGGTGATTCTAATGTGCATTCCAGGTTGCAACCTACATTCTGCAATTGACATTCCAGGTTGCAATCTACATCAGTCTACAGTCTTACTAAGGTAAGCCTGGTCAGCAGCATGGCTGTCACTTGGGGGCTTCTTAGAAACACAGAATCCCAGGCCCGCCCCAGACCTCAGAATCTGTATGATGAAAGATCCCTGGGTGAGATGATGCATTTTCTTTCTCTCTCACTCTCTCTCTCTTTTTAGAGACTGGGTTTCCCTCTCACCCAGACTGGAGTGCAGTGACACAATCATAGCTCACTGAAGCCTCGATCTCCTGGGCTAAAGTGATCTTCATGCCTCAGCCTCTCAAGTAAAAGTTGGGACTACAGGTGCACACCACCATGCCTGGCTAATTTTTAAAAAAATTTTTGTAGAGATGGCGGGGGGGGGGGGTCTCATTATGTTGCCAAGGCTGGTCTTGAACTACCGGGCTCAAGTGACCCTCCCACCTTAGCCTCCCAAAGTGCTGGATTACAAGTGTGAGCCACCATGCCTGTCAGTTTCTGTAATTGCAGCATTACAGTTTGAGAAACGCTGACTGGTCAGTAAACTGCAGGCACGTGTGTGTGAGGAAAGGCGAGAGGAGGCAATTTGAGGGGACTTGAGGTGTGTGAAAATGGAGAGATTCTGTGACTTTCATCAGACGTTCACTCTGTGAAATCATAGGATGGAGGCCAAGCGACAGAATGGCAAGAAGAGCTATCTCAGCCTCCTGGTAGACGTGGGTACTCACCAGCCTGACCCACACTTAAGTGGGAAGGCTTGTGGACAGACACCAGGGACATCATTTAACCACACCGCTTGCCTGCCTGGGGCCTTGCTTTTCTTTGCCTTTTATTGTTTTCATGTGTTTGTTTACACTGAGCCTGCCTTTGGGGGTACTCCATCCGTGTTGCTTAGAAAGGCAGTCAAGGCCTCCAAGGCGGCAGGTGGCAAGAGAGGAAGTTTCTTAATAAAATGAACAAGGCGATTTCACACCACCCGATGCAGGCCCAGCCAGCTCCGCAGTGCTGACACTACTGTGGTTGATTTCAGGGAAGCTGCTGAAAGTTTCTTGGAGTGTAGCATTTGGGTAAGATGGAGGAGAAAAAAGGAGAAAAGTAAAATGGGCAAGCAGCAAGTGGAATAGTGTCCTGAACTCTGCGCTTCCCCCGGCCCGGTGCTTCTGGTTGGTTCTCTCTGTGGCTTCCTCAGCCTTGACTTCCTTGTCAAGGCACATCCAGGCTTTGAGGGACGCATCATCCTCCAGTCCTGGGCAGGAGAGGAGCGAGGCAGCCCCCTTGGCGTGAAGGTGCACCCTGAAGGCCAAGGCCAGCTTGGCATCAGGCCCCGGGAAGGGGAGACAGGGTTCTGGGCCCAGGGTTTCCAGATAAACCTCTTGGATCTCTCCCTGCCTGCTTCCTCCCCCATGGCCAGGCTGATGGGCCCATTCGGCGCCAGGTGTGCTCTGACCCTGGCCCGATAAGGGTGTCCCTGTGCGAGGTGTGGGTGCTTGGCACTTGGCCGGAGGACTTTCTCCTCAGGCTTGGCGGGGGGCCGGGAACAGCGTGGAGGGCTGCAAAGGTCAGGGCCAAACCATCCAGGTGAGCCACCAGTGGGCCGGGACATCCCAGGCTCCTAGGCCGGGTGCAAACAGTCCCTAGCATCCCCTCCTGACTTCCCTCTGGGTCCACTGGTGGTCATCGCGGGAATCGCCAGCGGGCCAGCCTGCCCTCTAGTGGTGCTAAGTCGTAACTGCACCCTCCTGGCCTGGTTTTTCACAAGGGAATAATGGGAGACTCTGGTAAGATCAACTTGTTCTACCCAGGATGGAGAGAGGGTTCTGTTCTCCCATCATGCCTCTCTCCACCTCACACTCATAGGACATTCAGCCCTACAGAGGGAAGGGAACTAGCATATGCCAGTACTTAGTTCCTTGTGCCAGGGACTTGGCACACCTTGCTTCCCCGACCTCTACAACTGTCCTGGGCGGGGCGGGGGAGAGGGATATGGGGAGGCGTGGTGTAGAAGGGAGGGCTGCGAACCCACACACAGAAACTTTAAGGGTTACTACCCTTAAAGACAGGTACCAAGGGACCAAGCCACATGCTACTCTGTCTGACGTCCAAAGTCAAGTTTCCCATGTACAACGCACCTGTGGAACCCTCTGGGGCCTGAAGCCTGCGGGCTTCTGCAAGAACCAGGCTAGCATCCGGAAGCAGGGACAGGGGAGGGCACAGGGGTCAAGCAATGGGGAGTGGTGGGGACTGCAGCCAACGGAGGGATGTGTGCCCATCTAGAGGGCACGGTCATTCAGCTCCAGCAGACTACTCCTGAGTGGGAATGCCAGACTAACCCTTAAAAGAAACCAGAATCTGGATTTTTATGTAAAAATTCTCCATTTTAAATACAGACAATTCAGAAGAGAGTCTAAATATTATACAGGTCAAACAAAATTTTTTTTTATTTCTGAGTTTCCATTATGCCCTCATGTTGCAGGTGAGGTCTGGAGAGAGGAGATAACTTGCCCACAATCACATGACTATCCAGAGATGGATCTGAACTTGAACCTCCCAGGCCACTGTTTCTCTCAGTATACCTCTCTGCTGTCTGCTCTGCTCTCTAGTCCCCAGGGCAGGGGTGACCCACTCCCAACCTCGGGCGGGGGGGGTAGCGGGAAACATCAGACTCAGGCTGGAGGTGGAAGGCCATGCACATTTTATTGATCACATTTGGCTTAGAGTGTAGCAGGGCTGTGCTGGGTTGCTCTTGGAAGCAACATGAACACTGTGTGGAGCACCTGGGGGCTCACCCGAATCCCGCTGAGGTAGTAGCTGGATCCGGGGGTCTCACTAATGTCTGTGCAGGGCCCACCCCCTGAACCATCACACCTGGCTTTGTTCATTATGCAGGACAGACTCGTCCACCCCCAAGGTCAGACTGGCTGTTCCCGGACGGGGGCCCAAAGTCCTTGGAAGCCAGGATTTAAGGGAGGGGGGAGTGTGATTCAGTTTACAGTTGGGGTAACTGAGGCTTGAAGCAGGAGAGGACTTCATAGCTGAGCCCCCGGTTTGTTCTGGAGCCCTGGCCCTCGGGCCACTGGGCTGGTCAGTGCTTGGGGCAGAAGACTTTCCCTGGCGTAGCTGCTCAGTAAACACAATCTATAAATATCTATTTGGTTTAAAAAGTAATAAATTAGGTCTTAGGCCAGCCTGAGATCATCTGGCCACCCACATGGACATTGGTCACGTGTCCTCTATGGACCACTAAACCATGCATCCTGCCACTTGGGGTGCTGGGACCCGTGCCATCGACCCTGTGTCACATGGCGAGTCTCACGTAATGCCACATGTCAAGAGGGCACACGGCCACCTGTAACCTTACGTGCCATACATTGTGTCGTGACACCCTCATGTCACCTGTGCCACAGGGCCTCAATTAGTCACACATGTCACACGAGATGCGGGGTGCTCCTTTGACCGGACCCGGCTCCCGGGTCCCACAAACGTCCTCCCCGAGGACTCTGACAGGACACATGTGACCCTCCCTCCTGGGCCGCATGCAGTGCCCCGCTGAGGCTTTTTTCCCGAGCTCTCCATCTTGGTGGGTGATTCCAGGCATCACTTGGTGGGTGATCTTGGCATCACTCGGCTGGATCCCAGGGGTCTTGAGGGGACCATCAAGTGCCCCGAGGGGCCTGGGGCTGGTGGTCAAAGAAGGTAAAGTCCAGCCTGGGTTCCTGGCTCTGCAGATGCTGGGCTGTGTCATGGGGGATGGGGTTACCCCAGAGGCTGCAGGACACAGAGACAGGCACTCAGCACCCTCTTGTCTCTGCCCTCTGTCCAGTCTACAGAGTAGAAACTGAGGCCCAAGAGGGGAAGTGCTGTGCCCAGAGCATGGCTGACCTAGGGAGGTAGTGTTCCCCACACCCACCACCTCCTGGCTTCTCCCACTCAGTCTTCTTTCCTGAGACAAGTGATCCCAGCCAAGGTCACACTCGTGGGACACATTTGTGCAAGTAAGGAAAGTCTCCCCGTCTTCAAAATGCTTTACTTCCACCTGTCTGAAATTGTCATAATATATTGATTCTGGCGGAACAAGACACTTCACTCCTATCTCCTAGAAACCCACCACGTATACCATGTGAATGATCTCCCTTAGGGGCAATACCCTTGTGCAGTGCACTCCTATACAACTGTATGTGGTGGCTCTGATTACAGCTACCATTTTAATTGCTTACTATGTGTCAGGCATTGGGTTCAATACTTATATCAGGGGTCCTCCAACCCCCGGGGTGCAGACTGGTGACCTGCTAGGAACTGGGCCACACAGCAGGAGGTGAGCAGTGGCAAGCGGAGCTCTGCTTTCTGTCAGATCAGTGGCGGCATCAGATTCTCATAGGAGCATGAACCCTATTGTGACCTGCCTGCAAAGTATCTAGGTTGCATGCTCCTTATGAGAATCTAATGCTGATGATCTCCCATTCCCCACCTCACCCCTCATCTATGGAAAAAACTGTCCTCCATGAAACCAGTCCCTGATGCCAAAAAGGTCAGGGACCGCTGCCTGATATGCTCATTTAGTCCTCACAACAACTCTCTGAGGTAGATACTGTCAATTTCCCATTTTATAGGTAAGAAAATTAAGCTTCAAAGAGGCAGAGTTACTGATCCAAAGTTATACAATTAGCAAATGGCAGAGCTGGGATTTGATCCAGGTCACCTTACTGCCACATTCTTGGTGGAGTGGTCCAAGTCTCCTTTAATCATCCCCAACCCAAGCCCTGCTTCCTCCTACAGGGAGTCCCCCTTGTTTGGGGGTTGGGTGGCCTGCCGCCCCATTCCTGCCCCTGCAAGCCTCCGTTACCTGATGACTTGGATGCCAGAGCCCCAGGCCAGCCCTTTAGCCAGGAGCCAGGCTCCTCGAGCCGTGATCTGATTCCTCTCCAGGCTTCCCAGTCGACGGGGGGGAAAGACAGACGGGCATGAGACGGGCGAGAGGGCTTCCCTACGGCCCTTCTCAGGCAAAGGCGGGGGACACAGTCTCCCCACACCGCCTTCTCAGAGAACCCAGCTGGGGTCTCAGAGACGGGGATGGATGGACTGGGGGTGGGTACAGCAAGAAGGCTGACGGCTAGAGCCCAGGGAGAGCCAGGCCTGGCGGGGGCTTGGAACAGAACCCAGTGTGCAGCTCAGGGAAGGGCCTCTGGGAGGCAGGGGACTGACTCACTGGCCTTTTTGGCCCTCTCCGCCCCTCCCCCACATACCCTACTCTCTTCAGCTGTCCCATCCTCGGCAGAACCCCGGCCAGTTCCGCAGCTGCCTCATCCCCAAGGAAGTTCCAGGACAGCCTGCAGGGGGGA